CTTCTGGACTTGGGCTTCAAGAGGTCTTGAAACCCAACTGTCATGCCAAAATTTGCTTAGATTACTGAAGCTCTGTCTGACATACTTTGGACATGTTACAAGGAGGGACCAGTCCTTGGATAGGGACATCAGGCTAGGGAGGGTAACAGGACAGTGCAAGAGAGGAAGACCCTTGATGAGATGGATCAGTTCAGTGACTGGGGGAATAGGGGTAGGTGTGTCAGAGACAGGAAGGTTGGCTCAGGATAAAGCAGGGTCACTATGAGTCACAAATTACTTGATGCACATAACAACAACAACAGCTGATTATGAAATTACATGAAAATAGGGGGCCCAACCATTCCAGTGACACCAGAGGAGGTGCCAGACATGTAGGCAACACCATCTTGGACAGCCTCGGCCAAACCCTCAAAGGAGAGTTGTCACATGCTTGACCTTCGCTCAACTCCCAGCCTTTGAGTTGCTTCTGCCCTATAGCTATCCTCCACCAGGTTTTCAAAAGCTTTAAATCTTAATGGGAGGAATCTGCTTAATCTCCTAAGGAGCATTTAGTGGATTTGAACTACTAGAAACATGTGGCCTTTTGGTTAGCCAGCATAACTCACCTTGGACTACACTGCCAGAGTCAAACCACAGTTGCTGTCAATGGGAACACGCGAACTGCCCGCCCACCTGTTGTTAGGTGCTGCTGAGTCAAGTACGACTCACAGCCACTGTGATCAGAACAGATCTGAACCTTGTCCTGTCCGGTTCCATCCTCATGATCTCTGACATACTTGAGCCCATTGTTGCATTCACTGTGTCAATCCATTTATTGAGGGTCTTCCTCTCTGAGCCTTCTCAAATTTCAGAAAGTGAACAAATAAAAAGTTATTGTTGTAAGCTATTTGATTTTAGGATGGTTTGTTACATAGCAATAAAGAATTGAAACGGTGATCAAATGTTAGGATATTTTCTTCTATTGCTTTCAATTTATCCCATAGACTATGAAGACGTTGCAGCAGTGTCAGCCAAAGAAGTGACGTTAAATTTAAAAGACAGACTAAATTCCAGAAAGGCTGAGTGGACCTTGGATAACAGCGGGCCTGTGAACAGTCTATCTGAACTTACCCCACGCCATCCTCAGATTTCTCAATGCTTGAGTCTATCATCACAATCCCTGTGTCTGTCCATCTTGTTGAGGGTCACCATCTCTTTCTCTGACGCTCTACCTTTCCCAATGTGACATCTTTTTTCCAAGGACTGACCCTCCTGACAACGTGGTCAAATTCTATGAGATAAAGTTTTATCATCCTTGTCTCTAAGACACTTTTTCCAAGACTGACTTGCCTATTCTTTTGGCAATCCATGAGATGGATAGCCAATACTTTTCTCCAACACCACAATTCAAAGCATTGATCTGAATTTCTGTGATATCTAATAGATGCTTGAATACTTGCTGATTGAATCATGAAATGAATGACGGGAGATTAGACTCTGTACTGTCAAGGTACCAAAAAAAAAATTACTTTGAATAGCGTCTGCACCATACAGTTTTGGTTTTAAAAAGATGCTTGGCTTAAGTTCATCACTTAGAAAGTGATTCCTCAGATTCCAGGAGGATATTCTGATGAATGATTCATATGACTGGGGGATGTAAGTAACGTTGATTCCTGCCTAGTGGCCCTGCTGTACCCAAAGTAGCCCTAGTCACATAGTGTATCAAGTCATGGTAGTTAACCAGGTCAGCGATTGAAATTCACCAGCTGCTGTGGAGGAAAGATGTGTAGTCTCCTCTGTAAACATTTTTAGCCTTGGGAACCCACTGGAGGCTGCTAGGAGTTGGAACTGACTCAACAGCAGTGGGTTTGGTTCTACCTGGAAAAATACAGGTTCTCTGCAAGGCAGCTGGTAGATGGCGCAATGCCTATTAGTCTATCAGAAACCCTTTCCAAACCTGTCGTGTCATGTCAGGTCTTTTCTACCTTTTTTTGGTTCACCCAAGTCATAACTTATGATTGCTACTTGGACATACAGGATACCTTGTCTGCTCTGTGGTTCCCACAGGAACATCCAGACCAGTGTTCATTTATCTGAGGGTGATGAATAAATGAGATACAGCTCTTTTGTTTAGATAAGATAGACGACAAATATTTCCGACTTGAAATATTTTCAGGAGAAGTTTCTCTCTCATTGCAGTTGAGTTAGAACTGACTCATGGCTGATTTTCTGGTGGGTTTTCATGAAGTTGTAAATCACACAGGAAGAGGTTGTCCATCTTTCCCCACAGAGCTGTTGCTGTATTTGACGTGCTTGGGTCAGGAGTTTGACCATGTGGGTTGGCAGTACAGCGCCTTATGTACTATGTCGCTAGAACCAGGAGAGATTTAGAGGGTACAAAGCTTAGAGACAATGATGGACATTTTTCTTTTAGGCCATAATTACTTGTATTGCCCAAAGCAGTATATTCTGGGAAAATATCTTGGACAAAATATCATTACTTGAAAGTCTAGCAATACTTGTTATTAAGATAAATGAAATAAAGGAGAAGCCTTTGGACCCTTGAAAGAATGGGCTGTTTAATTTCAAACTTAAAATTGTTACATTTTTCTATTCTGTATTATTTAGAAAATAGTGGTTAACAGATTAAAAATAGAGATTACTTAAACATTAAAGCCATTGATTTCTCTCTATATTTGAAAGGTCAGTGTGTGGGAGATGAGAAAGGCACTGTAGTGATCAGAGTGTTCACACAAAGACATTTAGCAGCAGGGCCTCCAAAGAGCACATCAACTATTTATATTATGCACACCAACTTGCTGGTCATTTTCACTAACCAAAGAAAATAAGACTAGGCTATTTCTTTGGACAGTTGGGTGTATTAACAACACAGTTTTGGAATCAGCTGTTAAGACACTATAATTAAAGCTGGTTTATCATGTTCACTAATTACTCCATATAGTTAGCCTCCCTGAAGCTTTATATAATTCTCCCTTTGTTACAAGCTTCTGTTTCTCCTTTGGGCATTCTAAATCCAGACAGGTAAAGAAATGAAGTGCTTGGAAGGCAGTAGATTATAATATTTGTGGAGTCAAGCAGATAGTTTCAATTGAACTCAAAAGAAAGTACTATTTATTTTTTGTATATTACATAGGGCCTAGGGCTGCTCTCTGGGTAAGGGGATAACTTTAGATACAAGGAAAAAAGTAAAGAAAAATATGAAAAAAGGATACATCAGTTTTTCCTCCAAGATCTTAATTAACACCGGGAAGGGGAGGCAGTTTGTATCCAGCAACTCCTCCTAACCACCTGATGTTGCTGTCAGCCTGGCCAATTATCTGTCAAGAGAAGTAGAGGCATCTGATGTTCAGAGAGGCACCACAACCCACTTTCCAGTGCTCTTCGTCCAGGAAGATGGAAGTGGTCTCATATTTCAGCACTCCAGGGTGGGAGAGGCACACCCTCTCTGCTCCAGAATAGCTCAGTGCAATGAGAGTTGAGCAGAATCGCTCTTCAGGTCTTAATACCGACAGGGACTGGAATTAATCTATTTCCTTCCAAAGAAAGGACTTTCAGAACTTCTAAGATGCTTTGAGACAAATCCTCACCTAACACAGGCTCCAGGGGAGGGGCGGGGCAGGGCAGTGCCACCAACACACTCCAGGGACAAGATCAGCAGAAACAGTTGTAGGGCATCTTACTTTCCCATTCTGTCTCTTTAATTTCTTCAGCTTTCGTTTCCCCACAAAGCAGTAGGTGATAATTATTACTATGCTATCTAGCTGGAAACCATGGACTCCTTATTATTATAAAATAGCAAAATCATCCGCTCAGAGAGGACGTGGTGCAAATGGTTAAGTAAATGATTGGTGGTATCAACCTACCCAGTGGCTTCGAGGCAGAAAGGCCCGGCAATCTACTTCCATAAAGATTACAGCTAAGAAGACCACATGGTCAATTCCAACTCAGTCATATGGGGTCACTATGAGTCAAAACTGACTCAAGGGCACTAACAAGCTGTTCGGACAGGATTTTCACCTTTGAAAACCAGATGGAGGGCGTTCTTCCTCCTTCTCTTCATTTCCTTTCTCCCCACCTTCTCCCAGGTTATCAGAACCATGCACAATATCAGCCTCCAGTTTCAACAGTGGAGCTGTAGCAGGTTGCCAACTCAGAGAGCTGTCTTAAAAGGAGAGTGTATATAAAGGTAAAGCTTTACAACACCTCAGAGATCTCTAAGAACATTGTAAATATCCCTGCTTTAATTAGTAATCGTGCAGTTAGGTAATGGCCTGTGGCTTTTAGGCTAGGTCCCTTGGGGCTTCGATTCTTCAGGGGCTGCCTGCAACTATGATGAGCACATACACAACCTCCTCTTTCTCATCACATGAATCCTTTTTATATTTTCCTGGGCACCTCCTCATCAACCTCGTAACACACACGCAAATCGATTCCTATTCTCTTAATTTTAAAAATAACCCAACGCCTTAGCTTGGTCCCATCACAGTCGGAATTCCCAAATCAAATACCTTTGAACTCAAATTGCAGCCTCAGTCCCACATCCTAAGGAATAACAGAAAAAGGGAAGAGCTCATCTGTCTTGGGAAAGAAATGCGCTACAGTTCTCTGCATTTCTAAAGCAGCTTTCCCGTGAGGATAGGTCAACCAATCGGGACTGTAGGCAGCCTTGACAGGTTTGTTCTGGGCAGGCGGCCATTGACTAGGTTTTCCGACCAGATAAGTCTCTTGGCTGAGTCTACAGTAGGTGGGGCGCGCTCACCTGCTCCGGGGTAGTGACTGGAAGTTAGTTGCAACATCGACATACCAAGCTGCGTGCTAGCTCGCTGCAGGAGATACACTTTTACTGCACCTGCAGCCAGCCAGCCAGACGGGTTCACCTTAAAGGGCAGAGTACCAGCGAGGGGGATGCGCCAGACCCCCATGGTCCAGCCCCTTCTCTCACGGTTGGGCACGCGCAACCTTTGACTGACCCAGAGAAAGCAGTCTCATGGTTGGGCCCTTTAGCTTGCTCCGTGGTAGAAGTGGGGTAGGACCATCTTGGGTACCCCAGTTTGTGGTTTGCAAAGATCGGCAGCGGCATCCAGCCGTGCAGGGAGGCGGAGACACGTGCTTGGATGGGGGTGCTTGTGTAACGAGCTCCCCAGGCACCAGCCCCGACAGAGCTCCGGCGAGAGGATCGGTCAGGCTTCATTTCCTGCCGCCGACCCCGGAGATCCTGGGGTCCCCTTGCTTGCACGAGGCGGGAACACGCAGGGCAACGGGAACCCAACACTTGCCTCCAAAGCTATCATAGGGGAGTGGGAATTTGGAAAGTTCCCCAACTAAGAACACACGTGACCTCTCCCCGAAAGTAGTTCCGACGGTGACTCGGGTATCCTTCCACCTCCTTTTGAACCCCCTCCTTAGTGTCTCTGGCTCCGCCCACTCGCCAGGCTGCAGCTTCCTACCGACCCCTACTTCTCTCACCCGGGCTTCTAACCCGGGCTTCGAGTGTGCATGGCCCGGCTCGGGGAGGCCAGAGCCAGGCTCCGGGGTGGTCCACCCAGCCGGGTTTTCGCAGCGGCTAAAAAAGGGGCGGGGCGAGACGGACTCAAAGGACAGAGCTCGGGTTCCTCTCGCTGAACAGACAGACTTGGAACCCCGTGGGGCAATAAAGGGTGCTGCGGGGTACATCACACCTATGGGCATCTGCTTTCGACCCACCTAAGTAGATATCTTTATGGGACCTGAGAATTAAGGGCGATGCGCTCATGCACAGCGCATTCAGCTGAGAGCTTTCATTTTTAGGGCCAAGGAGCCCAGTTGCCGGGGAAGCGGGAGGTGGGGCGGTGAAAAGGAGCGGGTTGGGGCGATATACACTGGAAACACAATAGGGGGTTGTTCTTTGTGCTAAGACTGACACCTTGAGGACACCGGGGGTGGGGGCGTGAAAAGAGTGGGATCGCTAGGCAAAGACTGCTGGCAGCTGCAGTCAAATCCTTGCAAAGGCTCGAGATAACCACAGCGGTGCAAAAGGAAAGAGACGGCTTCCGTGCTGAGAATTAAGGGGGGACTGGACGGAGGAGGGGTGGCATCACTGTAAAAACTGTCCTAACATTTACCGAGTCACTGACCAGCGAGGTCAGCTGGTCCTTTCCACCTGTGCACAGGTGACCTCACCCTCGACTCAGTGACACAGCTCCACTTAAGCTTTCATCTTTAGTTTCCCGTCCGCGGTGCCTACTCTGCCTTGCCGCCTTCGGGGTTTCCGGGCAGAGCCGGAGGCTTTACTCTCATCTTCCCTGATCGGTTTAGCTGCAAAAGCAGCGGAGGCAAGTGCAGTTACAGGAGGACACCTCGGAACAAGCCCGTGCGAGCCCCCGGCAAGCACACTGGGCATGCTCAGTAGCGCCTGCAGGTTGAGGGGGGTGCGTTCTGCGCTCGCTCCGGGAGCCGCTGCTTGTCTCCCCCCACCCCACCCCCTCTTCCTCCCGCCTCTAGCGTGCCCTCCCCCGGTGCGATCCCGTCCGCCTCCCGTCTCCCCCTCGGGCTCCCAAGGCGCCCAGGCTCCCCGCGAGGCGGCGGAGGGGGCGGGCAGGCCCGCGGTGATGTGGCGGAACTCTTTGTGCACTGCGGCAGGATACGCGGTCGGGCGCCGCGCTACGGCCTGCGCTTAGTTCTCTCCTCTCGGAAGCTGCAGCCATGATGGAAGTTTGAGAGTTGAGCCGCTGTAAGGCGAGGCCGGGCTCAGGCGAGGGAGATGAGAGACGGCGGCGGCCGCGGCCCAGAGCCCCTCTCAGCGCCTGTGAGCAGCCGCGGGGGCAGCGCCCTCGGCGAGCCGGCCGGCCGGCGGCGGCTACAGCGGCGGCGTTCCTCGCCTCCTCTCCGTCGCCTTTGCTAACCGTGCAGCCTCGTCCTCGGCTTCTCCTGAAAGGGAAGGTGGAAGCCGTGGGCTCGAGAGGGAGCCGGCGGCGGCGCGGCGGCGGCGGCACCTCCCGCTCCTGGAGCGGGGGGCAGAAGCGGCGGCGGCCGCGGCGGCTGCAGCTCCGGGGAGGGGGTCGGAGTCGCCTGTCACCATTTCCAGGGCTGGGAACGCCGGAGAGTTGGTCTCTCCCCTTCTCCTGCCTCCAACACGGCGGCGGCGGCGGCGGCGGCACATCCAGGGACCCGGGCCGGTTTTGAACGTCCCCTCCGCCGCCGCCGCCGCACCCCCCCTGGCCCGGGCTCTGGAGACCGTCGGGGTCGGCAGCCGTTCCGAGGATTATTCGTCTTCTCCCCGTTCCGTTGCCGCCGCCGCCAGGCCTCTGGCTCTTGAGGAGAAGCAGGCCCAGCCGCTGCAACCATCCAGCAGCCGCCGCAGCAGCCATTACCCGGCTGCGGTCCAGGGCCAGGCGGCAGCCGAGCGAGGGGCATCAGCCACCGCCAAGTCCAGAGCCATTTCCATCCTGCAGAAGAAGCCCCGCCACCAGCAGCTTCTGCCATCTCTGTCCTCCTTTTTCTTCAGCCACAGGCTCCCAGACATGACAGCCATCATCAAAGAGATCGTTAGCAGAAACAAAAGGAGATACCAAGAGGATGGATTCGACTTAGACTTGACCTGTATCCATTTGTGCGGCGGCGCCCTCCCTGCCTCGCTGTCACCCTCGCTTAGAAGGCGGGAGGGGACGCATGCGAGTGGTTTTCATAGATGGGGTGACTGTCCCATTTCGTGAACCCTGGTCGAAGGTCTAGGTTATCGCGCCTCTCTCGCGTCTCTTTTGAATGGATTGAGCCTAGGGTGTGTGCGGCTTAAACGGAGCCCTTGCCTGGTTGCAAGTGTCAAGGCACCAGATTGGCTTCTTGGTCGGTCTCGATGGCCCTTTGCTAGGGGCAGTTGTCCGTTGATTCAGAATCCTGCACGCTCTCAGTGGATTAGGGAGCCTGGGAGTCCGGCACGGTCAAATGAACCAAAAAAGTAGGCGCTTTGAGGTTTGACCCTGTTTCGATTAAATCTTGGCCTAGGCCCTAGATCAAGGGTATAGATGAGATTAAAATGAAAATTAGTGTTGCACGTACCCATATTGCATCAGCATCTTGCAGTGATTGTTTTTAGCTTCCTGGCTGTACGAGTAGACTGGTTTGAAATACGAATTGTGGACTGATTTGCATAACTTCAGAAGCAGAATAATTTTCCTCCTGTGCGGTGCGAATATGAGGGCAAGAGTAGGTTTGCAAGCTTAAGCCGAGTTAATTACAAGTTTGGATTGCATGGCTAAGTTTGGTAGTTTGGAATCGATAAAGCCATGGTAGTAGGTCTGGTGAGGCACTCGGGTTGGATCTTTGTTCACTTAGCCCTTTTCTCTCCTAATGGGGTGATGTAGGCTGGGACTTTGCAGTTGTGTGGCATTTTCTGTTCAGTGCTCTTGTCACATAGAAGAGAATGGAGATTGGGTAGTTCTTGATGTATGTAGCAAATGGTGATTGTAGAGGTTAAACTTCAGTTCTCACTTGAAATTTAAGTATCATTGTAATACCAGAGTTGTTACTTAGCTTATTTAGGTTTCAAGTTCTCTGACACTTACAGGTATCCCTTAATTTTACTAACTTGTGTTAAGTATAAGTTAGCAGCTGATACCCAGAAATGCTATTGTAGGTAAGTTGTAAGCTCTTTCCCTACAGTGTTTTACTGAGTCAGCTTGTTGAATGAGACAGAGAAACCAAGAATTTTAACGGTACATGGTTTTACTTTTCTAAAAGTTAGGCCTTTTTACGTCAAAAGGTAGTGGTTAGGAAAAGCCATTGATCTTTGCAGTTGCAGGTAAAACAAATTAGTTTTGATCAAGAATGGGCAGAGCGCCTCCCCGCCCCCCCCCTTGCCATGAGAAGTGTTAATTTTTCACAGAACGATAAGTTTATGATGGTCCTGTAGGTGGAAACAGAATTCATTTGTTGGCTTGAGATGACTGAAGCATTTTAGTCCTGGCGAGGTCTTTATTAAGACCAAAATTTTGGTAATGTGAATTGTGGCAGTGGGCAGTAGATAGTTAAAATGATGTAATTGTGTCAGCACTACTAAAATATTTTTAATAAAAAGTTATTAGTAGATGTCAGTAAGCATTTTGCATAAAGATATTGTGGCATGAAGGTGTGCTAAAAATTGTGGGGAATGATTTTGTTGAAGACTGCTACATTAAAAGAGATTTTATTCCTTTTGATTATGTTAGCTGCATATAAATGTGCATAGCAACTATTGCCCATATTTTTGTTTTGAAATGAAGATAAATCTTACATAGGAAATAGCTTTGCAACATTATACTCTCTGGTAGAGTATTGTGTCAATTTTACAAAGACATTTTTAAAGGAGTATTTGGAAATTTTGGGATCTGCATTAATTGAAAAACTTTACCAAATGAATTAGACCCTCCTGTCCAAAAGGTAATTAATGTGGAAAGGTTGCTCTGATTTGTGACTTGACTCAAAAAGTCTACTCTTAATGGGACTTTATGATAGTCATCTAGAGAGGTGGAAACACATTCATGGAAAGTTTTACATTTATTAAAAATAGTCTCATTTAAAAAAATAATGAAAATGCAATTTTTAACATTTAGTATATTTATGATATACTTTCCCTACATGATTTAAAATTGTTAAAAGGTATGTAAGAATTTACAATTAATGTGCTAGTTTCTTACCTGTAAGCTGTGACTGACTGGCAGTTTTTCCTTTGATTTCAAAGTATGTGGGCCTACACATGAAATTGATGTTTTAAAACTTTCTCTAAAACTGAACTTTAGTTATGCCATGCATAGAAAGCAGTATCAAATATTGCATGAAATGACTAATAACACTTAATTTCTAGAGTTGTGGTTTTATTGAGCCAAACGTTGAGATGTAAAAAAGTCACTAAGGAAAAAGTCAGTGATTGACTTGCACTTTTGATTGTTGCATTCCTGATAAACTTTGATACCAAACCCCTTTGGTGTAATTTTATTTTCTTTTTATTGGAAATGAGTAAGTGGGTGTTAAAATGGCCATTAAAGACTTTGTCTCTGGTAAATTATAGTATCTGTTTCAGCAGTCTATCAAAAGTTAAATTCCTTTATAAAAGTTGTCATTGCCTTATTTTAACAAAGTTTGATAATGCCGTGATTTCTCCTAATCAGAAGAACCGTAATTCAGTTTTAAAGTATTTTAGCAAAATGACATTAGTAAAGCAATAATTTGTTGATAGTTTTATTCTTAATGTTAGTCTGTCTAGTGCAGAAAGTGTACCTGAAAACTTTAGTCTTCTGCTTATTTTTGTAGCTTGATAGATTTTTTTCTCCTTTCAAAATGTTAACCTTCACAGGGGATATTTATGTTTGTATTTTAGAGAGTACAGCGTTTATTGAATTTAGCTATGATGTTTTTCCCTTAAGACAAATGATTATTACAATTACCGTCTTAATGATATTTAAAAAAATTTTTTGAATAATATTTTCTGCTGTTTAGTACTTTCTATGTTGTATTTCTTTCCTGAACAACATGGCTGGACTATCTGTTATGTGATAACTTTATTGCTCTCCATTGTGAAAGTTTGTACTGTAGAGTTCAAGTGCTTATAAAATAGTAAATAAATGCCAAATGATTAAAGAATATACTGTGAGAAGTTAGCCACCTTAATTTTTTTTTTAGCCATCTTAATTTTTAAACTTAATTTTAGGAAGACAATAGAGAGATATACATTTATGTATATTAACTATTAGATTTTATTTGAACACAGGAAAAAGTAACATTTTATGTTTGGAACAATTCATTTACTTTCTCAAAATAACTATGTTAATATACAAACCGCTTAGTGTTAAGAAAATTTTTACTTTTTGGGAAGCAGAGCGATTTTCAGTTCTTATTTTCAGATGGTCTTATTTTGAAATTTTTCCCTTTTGCTATTTGCTCATTTGATGATCACTTAATAGTTTTTAATATTTTTAAAGCTATTTATGAGGTAATCACTTCACAGTTTCATCGCAAGTTAGAGTTCACAATGCAGTCTATTTTTTAATGTTTATTTCATTCTGTTTAGTAAGATGAATGTAGGAAATTTTTATATTGATATTTTATGTGGAATGATTTTGTAAAGAGAAATATAGCAGTGACATTTTTCACTTAATGGAAATGTTAGGCCTTTTCATAATTAGAAGTTTTAACTTGCAGACACTTACTTATTGTTAATGATAGAGATTGTTAAGATGAAAAGCCATTCTGATTCATTAATCTGTTGAATGTGTTATTCTTCACATCTCTTTGCTTATTCTTTTCACACTCACTCCACACTCCTTTATTTGTTGTTTAAATAAGCTTGATTTTTTTCACTAGTATCAACATTGCATAATTTGTTTTGTGGCTCAAATTTAATAAGAAAAAATGAGGACAGTCAAGTATTTGAGACTTAAAGGGCAGCATTGTGACCCCAAACAAAGCATAGGAAGCAGAAAGGGGAAAAGAAGCTGAAAGGAGAAAGATGAGTGAATGGAAACTGGGCACCTAGGGAGGAAGTGGGAAGAGTGCTGTTTCTTTGAGGGACCGGTTACTAATGTCACAAAATGAAATGTGTGTAAATTAAGTGGAAAACCAATTTGCTCTATAAAGTTTCCTCCAAATCACAATGAAATTCTACCCAGAAATAATAGGATTCACTATTAGGATAGTGACTGCTGATTTTTGTGTCAAATATTTGTGGAATTGTGGCCGGTAATGATTTCAGTAATAATCAGTTGTATTTTAAGGTTGTTTCTTATCTGAATGCATTAAAACTGATAAGTTGTTATCAGTGACAAGAGCCTGGTGGCTAAAGGTTTGGAAGTTTGAATCTGTCAGGCACTCTGCTGGAGGAAGATGGGCAGTCTCCTAGGGTTGGAGTCAACTTGATGGCAGTGGGTTTTTATCAGTTGTTGTTGTGTACCTTAGAGTCAGAACTGATCCAGTGGGTTTTCAGAGGTAGTTAATCACACAGAAGGAGATTGCCCATCCTCCTGGGGAGCAGCTGGTGGCCTCAAACCAACCGCGTGCCTTCAGGATTACAGAACAGCTCCTTACCACTAGGCCACCAGAGCTCCCTTTTATCAGAGAGAAATACCAAATAATTTGGTGGTTAGAGGAAATAGCCTGCATGTGATAGGATTAGTAGAAAAAACTTAGTATCCTTAGTTTCACTTAGGCCATATTCGTAATATTTTTTTTATGGAAATTTAAGAGGTGAGTAGTCCTCTTTAAAGTATTGAGTATATATTTATTTTGTTGACAGACTTGAGAGTCTAGGCAGAAGAATACTGGTAGTGGTACCTGTCAGCACAAGAATTTCTTTGACTTGCATATAGACTGGCAAAGAAGGCTGTCTTGTATTACATTTTAAGTGGTTTATACATAATTATTATCACTAGTCACCACTTCACATATGGATAGTGGATCAGATCTCTAACTGGTTGAGTCCTCTGTGTGTAAATAAATACGAAGTTGGCAAACCTCTGTCTTAATGTAATCTTTTTTTTGAAGATTACTTTGGCTGTTTTGTTTTATGATTTTCAAACATAGCGAAATCTATATTACCGTGAAGTGGTGGTTTTGTGACCTTTAATGTACAT